AGACTAGATTACATCTTGTATTATTGCTGCCAGGGTGTGTTATTGCCCTTTTGTTAACAACAAGTCTTGCCTTGTTGAGTTCGCTTTCCTTCCACTGTTCCTGAGCCCATGTGCATCTGTACCTAACCATCTATCTAGTTCACTTTATGTATTTGATGCAGTTAGGCTCCTGTCTATAAAAATATTAGCCTGTGATTAAGTTGCTTTGTCTTCAAAGTGCTATAAAAAAACCCCAATATGATTACTTTTCCAGTTTGGTGTGAATCTCACAATAGAAATGTATTGAATATATACTGTACTGTTCCATTTGAAATGATTTTCATATGTACTCCATTGGCTCGAGACAGACAGATGGCAACCATATAATATATACATTAATAATGAGAGCTAAACCAGATTAGGTGACGGCTGAACTTGTCTGTTTAAACTTTTTCCAAAACTTTGCCATCATATACCATCATAAAGAAACAACACCCAAGATCAGATTTAAAAGGTGAAGGGATGGGGTCAGGCAGATGGCAGCAGGCTTGACTCAGGGGCTTGTAGAGGCACCACTGCCACTGTCATTCTGCAGCACAGTCGCTTAGCAGAATGATACACACCCTAAGGAAGACTGTAAGAGCCTAGGCCAGGGAGAGATAAAGGGAAGCACTCTATCCAGACTGGCATATTTGCAGAGTCTGGGTTTTTGTCAAACAGTTGCTGTGCATCACTGCCAAATTCAAGCAGCTTCCGCTGTTGTAGTTAGAAGAGCGGAAGACTTTTAATTGCACATGTGCAGATTAAACTGCATTGTAAGTATGAGCTGCTGCTTACACAAAGGTAAGCACTGCCATATTTTCAAAAAGGCACTTGGAGAACTGTTACAGTAATCATTTTCTAGCTTCAGCATGCGGGTCTGATGCTTCTGTGTTGGGAAATTTGTAGAAGAGAGGCTGTGCTAATACATGGACTTCTCCAACTATCCATCATGGTCAGTTTAAGTGATATTGTTGACACTAGTTTCTGGAGATAGCTTTTCCTATGCTGTCTTGAGGTCAGGCATCTACACTGAATATTTGTAGCTATTATCTGCAGCTGTATGCAATGGATAAAAATCATTGGGCTGTACCCAGTGTTAGACTCATTAGAATTAATGGGTATGGGTAACTGTGACATCCATTAATTTCAAAAGGTCTAGTTAACAGAACTTAGTTGGAAAAAAACCATTTGTCTTGGCAGTAACATCCATTTTCCTTCCTCAAGCACCTGAAGGTAGAATGCAAGAGGTCTCAATTCTGGGCACAAGCAGACCCAGGCCTGTAAGCCTACTGCATCATATGCTTTCAGACCAAGTTGTCTGAAGCAGACTATGGTTAAGCCTCTCTTAGCAAGGTTAGAAAAGGCCTCAGCCATTCCAAGTAGGAAATACAGAACCGGTGTTCTGTCTTGTTATAAAAGGCAACTGCTTTTATTGATTTATTTCAGTTTGTGGGTGTGTATAAACACATATGCACACACATATAAATGATTAGTGGTAATATAGCAGGTGAAATTCACACTCTGCTAAGACCAGAATAAATGCACTTTTCATTAAAACAGAATAGATCAAAGACCCAAAAAACCACCACCCTGTGCAATAAAAAGGTTTTCAGAACCCATCTAAAAGCAGTGAGAAGGATCTCCCAAGTGTAGGGGTGGGGATCCTGTGATGGGAGTTGCAGGCCAACAACCTTCTGGAATGCGCAGGTTTTCTGCCGCACCATCTTTACACCTAAGGATGGAATTCTGCAATTGATCACTAGGGCCCACAAAAGGAATATCCATGAAAGACAGGCTGCTATTAAGGCTGAGACAGGTTCCTATGAGCCAAGGAGAGCCTTAAAACATGGTCCTGGGTAATCTGGACACTTTGTTTGAAACGTTTACAACAGAAAGCTTTTTTTCAGATAAGTGGAAAATTCACAAAAGTCTAGAGGAAGGTGGCAAGGTATTCCATATTTATTTTGATTTCTTTTTATGTATAGGAAAAAATGTGAAGAAACCTCCCAAATCTTACCTAATTCACGCTGGTCTCGAACCTCTGACCTTCACCAATATGTTTCCAAGCTGGGAACACAGAGAGGACATTGCAGAGATCACAGAAATGGTAAATCAACCTTTCTCATTATCTTTCTCCATTTTCCACTGCACTGCTGGCGATGTGGCTATGGTGGTGTTCTGGGAAGCAGCGAAAGCCAGGGGATTACCACGGAGAGAGAGCTTCAAACATTTGAGGGGGGAGAATAACCAGCGTGGGTGGATTTCGGCTGAGATTTTATCATCTACTCATGAAGCTTCCAGGATGCAAGGAGATGTTTTATGTCCGAGGAACTGAGAGGTCTGGCTAAAATATTTGTTTTTGTTGAGCTGATTGAGTAACAGAGGCCTGGCTATTCCTTATCTCTCTCAGAAAACCTGCCAAGGCTTGCAACGCTTGGAGCTTCCTTTTCAAAACAGAGCACATCATTTTCGTCAGAAATGCAAAGCCTCACACAAAACTTGAAGTGGCAATGTGGGGACTTTCTTGGTAATTAAGAACCTTCCCTCGAGAGAGCCACCTCTTTTGGCTGGTTCATTCTAAATCGGCTGCCATATCTGTAAAACAACTAAACAAAGCTCCTTGGGTAAAATGTACATTTCACAGACCTGCTTTTTCAGATGAAACAGTGGCTCTGTTGTGATTGCAAAGTGCGAGTAAACTAACACTTGTTTCTCCTCCCACTTCTGCTTCTGGCACCACCCATCCACTGGCCATGGCATGAAAAATATAAACAATATTGCTAAACTACCGTATTTACTCGAATCTAATGCTCACCTTTTTTGGTCAAATTATGTTGTGGGATTTAAGGTGTGCATTAGATTCCATGGCACATTTACATTTGCCAGCAAATACTTTTTTTATTTGTTTCAAGGTTCTGAAAAATTGAGGTGCACATTAGTTTTGATGGCGCATTAGGCTCAAGTAAATATAGTAGTTAATTGAAAAAGGAATCAAAAAGTGTCTTGGCCACCTGACTTCCAGCCATCATGGAAGGCAAGGAGGGAGGGAGACTGTATGCAAGCCCAAAGCTTGCCCTGGTTTCTTCATTTAATGCTAAGCCATAGCAAATGAGGTTGTTATTGTAAGTATATACAAACATAATTCCTTTCAGATTGAAGAGGGGGGGAATTTGTTTATCACCTGACTTCTCTGTAGAGAATATTTGGCTGCTTATCTCTTTCTGAACCACTCGAAATTTCTAAATCTTTTCCTCCCCTCTAGGATGCTGAAGCTTCTAACCAGATAATCCTTGTGGAAGATGTGCTGGCCAAACTATGCAAGAAGCTGTACCCATTGGCCGAACTTTTAGCAAGGCCCCTCCCAGAGGGTGTGGATCCACTAAATCTTGAAATCTACCTTTCAGATGAAGATTTTGAGGTAAATGGGAATACACATCTCACAGATGTCTCTATAATTACTCTTTGCATTGCTATTCTTTTTTACACTTCTTAATGCTTACCCTTCAACAATCCTTTTAATGCAGGCTGGATTGCAGATGACAAGAGAGGAATATAACACACTGCCTTCCTGGAAACAGGTGAACCTCAAAAAGGCAAAAGGACTCTTCTAAGTAACCTGGCCATGTTGCAGTTAAGGGCTAAAGCTGGAGTGGGATCTTGTGTCATTTTCAGCACCTCGTGGACAAAGCAGCAGCGTGGCCAACTTGCGCTCACCCCCCCCCCCCCTTCACCAAGCCAACAAGATACCGCCGGAAGGCTGTAGATTACTGCCTCTTCTTAAATCACGTCATATTGTAAATGTGTGAGAGAACTCTTTTGCAGGCTCTTTTGTTTGGGAAGGTAAGGCAATTTGACAGCTGATGAATTGTGTTCTCCCTTGTACTTTAGCAGCAGTTTCTCAGGCTGCTGCTGCAGCAGCAATGGCGGATCTTTTTAGCTGCGTTACACTACTTGCCATTTGGGTTTTGAAGACGTTCTCTTTGTAAAGTGTTATTTTGTCTAAAGCTGTGGATTTTCAAAAAGAATTTATATTTATATAAAACACATAGGACAAGGATGTATTTAACAATGCAATGTGTATTATTCACTTTCAAGACTTCAGTCAAGAAGGACTTTCAGAAAAGTAGCTCGGCGGCGCAGTTGCTTGGTCTGAATTAGTTAAACTACCAATTATGTTTTTACTCTCTCTTTGTGTCTTCCCACCCTCTATCTCTGAATGGTTTCTCTTTTTAATAGGCGACGAATTGGTCTCAATGCTGCTTCAGGTGCTAAACTGAACAAAGCATCATCACACAAGTTTCTTGAGAAACTCTCCAAATCCAACTTTGATATACTTTGTTATCCCAAAAATGTATAGTGCCTTGTTTTTTTTCTGTGTACAGTTTATATACAAAAAAGATCGGTCTGCTTTTTGAAGATGGCTCTGAAAAGTCTCCTATGCTCTACTTTTATAATAGTAGAAATAAAAAAACATCTCAGTTTCAAAAAACTTGTTGTAAAGATAAACTGTCTTTTATGACAAAGACTCAAAGCAAAGCTTCAGAATAAACTCTTAGCAATGCACACAGACTTGTTGTTCTTCTCCCACGTAACTGATTCTGTCGGAAAATACCTCATTTCAGTAAAACACAGAAAATATTTGCATTGTGCTGTGAACAAAGAGCAGAAATTTTCTGATTCAGAAAATTAGTATTTTGTGATATAGAGAGAACTGGCACCTGTGATCTAATGTCCTATAAAATGTTGTGTACAAGCAACCAAGGTTCTCCACTGAGTTCCCTGCTCATGAAATAATGGTGATGCATAATCAGAGCCTCTAGATAAAGATACTGTCATTTTTATGTTTTTCTGAATTACCAGACATTAAGTCTGAGTCTTCAACCATCTGAACCACTCGTGCTAATGGGTCCATCAGTAGGGGACCAGTTGATAAACAGTTGCCGTTTGTAGGAAAGAGGAGACAGAAGAAATGGATATACTTACTGAAATATACCTTCAAGCGGCAGATTGGCAGTAGCACCTTTCCTGAATTCGCCTACAATAGCAAGCATTGCGGAGAAATGCAGCCTCGTTGCTTCTTTTCCCTATGAGTGAAACAGAACAAAAATTATCATACCTTGATTAAACTGTAATAAGACAAATGATAGCCAGATAAAATAATTTGGCTCATGGATCACTGCTCTAGATCTTAGCTGACTTCGTAATCTCTGGCTTATATCAGACCTGCTAAAATATAGTAAGTTTCAAGGCTTTTGCTCAGAAATCATGTGGTGCATTTTCCCCCCCGGCACTGAATTAAATTCTGATTTCAACAAAGGATGCAAAGCCATATCTGGTTACTGTTTTAGGTAGCTATCTATTCACTTTGAATTACCACAACATATTCAAAAGATTTCCTCCCTTTTATGTGTCTTTCAAAGAGTTGCATTACAATGTTTTCCCTGCCTGTAAACCCGGGAAAGCATTTCAGTAGACTTAACAGTTCAAAATTACCTTTACAGGAGGAAAATCTTCAAGCCATTGTTGCTAAGTGACATGATGATCTCTTGAGATGCTGTTCTTAACCTGACCAAATCAAATGCAATCAAGCACATTGAACAGACTGAATTGAGTGGCCTTGTTGTAACCTGAAGTGTGACTTAGCCCACAAAACCAAAAGTCCTTAATACTTCTGCATAAGTAGTGTCCAGAGATGTCAACAAACACAGCTTTAAAAAAGGAAGCAACTGCAAATTATATGCTGTACTTCCATTACATATGTGAGCATCAGTTTGAGTTCCAAGTCCTGTATGCAAGCCTGCTTTATGTGGGGACCTGCCTATGCTAGATGAAAACTAGTAATAGCTTGCTATGAGAGGACTGGCTCATGATTTATTTATTTATTTCATTTATACTGGTACCCATAGCAGAAGTTTCTAAACTGTTCAGATTATAAGAACAACACTGAAGTATAAAATAATGGACACTGTGATGGGTTGATTCTAAAAATGAACATAATCAAAACCGAATTTGAAACACAAAGAGCCAGGCGGTGAAACATGAAGTTCTTAAAAAAGCCTGGATGAATTCAATGTTCTTCCACTTGGTGCCAAAAGGTAATAAAGTAAGAATGTAGGGAATGCGGCAATGGGGGGGGGGGGGATTCACAATCTGAAAGTCTCCAGTGGATTGGAAAACCCAGAACACATTTATGCAGTTCATTGGAGTTTTATTACATATACTATTACAAATAATGCATAGGACTGTCTACCTTTTACCATTGCATTAAATATGGACACCATGTTGGTGCTTTTTGTAAAGAATCTTATTTATACTGTTATTACTTAGCTGTGCATCCCCCTGTAGTTTGGGGCTTGTTCGTGTTCTTTTCTCGTGGGAGTGCTATATAGAACAAGAAGAGATCATGAAAATGATGGCAAGCAAACCTCACTGGAAAAACCAGTCCCTAGCAGGGGTGCCACTACCAGAAAGGCCCTGCCTAACCTATTTATTTGGCAGAGCCACTCAGAAAAGAGCCACCAAAGATCTTTAGGTTTGGGCAGGTGCACACCGGAGAAGACGCTCCATTTGGTAACTTGATCACAAGCCATTTCAGGCTTTCAAGACTGAAACCAGCACTTTAAATTGGATCCAAATGCAGGGAGCCAGTGCAGCCTGCAAAGGAAAGGTGTAAAGATGGTCTTATACCAGTCCCATAAAGAAGGCTGATCGCCGAAGAATCGATGCTTTTGAATTATGGTGCTGGAGGAGACTCTTGAGAGTCCCATGGACTGCAAGAAGATAAAACGCATCCATTCTTAAGGAAATCAGCCCTGAGTGCTCACTGGAAGGACAGATCGTGAAGCTGAGGCTCCAATACTTTGGCCACCTCATGAGAAGAGAAGACTCCCTGGAAAAGACCCTGATGCTGGGAAAGATGGAGGGCACAAGGAGAAGGGGATGACAGAGGATGAGATGGTTGGATGGTGTTTATGAAGCTACCAGCATGAGTTTGATCAAACTGCGGGAGGCAGTGGAGGACAGAAGTGCCTGGCGTGCTCTGGTCCATGGCGTCACGAAGAGTCGGACATGACTAAACGACTAAACAACAACAACAATACCAGTCCCAGGTAATGCTTTTGCCGCCCTCTTCAGGACCGGCTGCAGTTTGTTTTCAAAGGCAGATCCACAACACAACACATTGCAATTGTCTAAAATGTTCTACAAAATGGGTACACTTTTCACACAAGAGCATGGCTCTGCAATTTCAGGAAGTCCAGGTTTCTGTGAAGGGAGCTATTTGTCTGTGGCAGAGAATGTTGTGACTCACTGAAAACCAATAAACTAAAAGTGATCACATATGTGCATAGGGCATGCAGTATATACCCTGACCCCAGAGAAGAAAAACTATTGGCTTTTTTAGTTTAGTTTTACAAAAGGCCATGCAGGAATTAGCGGGGGGGGGGGGGGTCACAGTATTTTGCAGAGCTCAAATGCAAAATCCAGTCAAATGACTGCAGGATCCCATCAGTGTTTGTGTGTGTGGACACACAGTGGGGCATCCAATCATGTGAGGCTCCCACCACCACCTGAAGTTAGAAGTCCAGATTAGTGCAGTTCAAAAGTTACTCCTGTTCTCCCCCTGCACACACCCACACACACCATTATTTATCAATGAATGAGAAAAGAAACTGCAATTGAAAATGGTCAAAGGTAGATCATTTTCTTGTGAAATTCCCACCGTGGGTTGCAGGGTTTTTGTCATGATTACTTTCAAGGTGTCCGAGTAGCATTTGTGAGGGTCCCTTTCATTCTACAAATCATCTCTCTGCACTCTGCAGCCCTCCTGGGTGCCTTGTGCTTCCATTAAAGGTCAGGGAAAGACATTGTGCAGCATCTCCTCCTTTGAGGCTGCTTTTCAGATCAGGAAATGTGGGCAGCTAGGGAGGCTGCAGAGAGGAAAGGGAAAGGTGCCATTCTTAGCACTTCTGCAAGGTAACTATCAAAAGTCTAAACAAATTCTAAAGCGTTCTGAAAATGAGGCAGAAAAATGGAAGTCTCTTTTGCAGAGGAAGAAAGGGACAGATCTGTGGTATAGACTCACCATCTCATCTGGTTTTTCTTAGAGCTGGTTTAGCAACACCAGTCAACCAATCTAAGAGTTGGCTAGGGCAATGTTGGTGTTGCTACAATCATTTCAATACTTCACACTTTGGGTGAGGAACTTCTGTTCCTCCAGGTGATGTTGCACTCCCAATTCCCATCAGCCCTGGCTAACATGGCCAAGGGTCAGGGATAATGGGCACTGAAATCCAAAAACACATGGGATGGGCACAGATTCCACTTCCCAGCATTACACAGAATGAAATAATAGACTGAAGTGGGTGAACTCAAGAGCTGTGCACCACTTCAGGCTGTGTATGAGGAGGGGAGGGGTGTTGTATTCTTGCCTATTCCCCCACATTAAAAGCTGGCTTGCAGCAAACCAGAATATTGGAGAGAGGTCCTTGCTAAATTGCCTTTTGCTATATCCCGTTCCCACCTGCTATTCTGGCCCTTTCACACTCTCATCTATTAAGTGATGTGCTTATGTCTGCTCAACTCTCTTTGGAAATGTCAAAACTATTTTTCAGCACCACTCAGTTTCCAGGAACACTGATCTAAATTACACCCATATTCCTGGCTTGTCAGAGCCTTATCTGAGCTGCTGCATGAGCGACGTGCTATTGTCTCTTCTGTCAAACCTTGCAGGCTGACATTGCCAGCTCTCCTGTTACTTTGCCTGGTACCATGGTGCAGACAGAGCAATGCCCTCTGAGCTAAGGGAAGGCACTCTGGGCCGGGCGCCAGGAAACCATGGGCTGTTAAATCTGTCTGTTTTCCCTAAGGGTATAATTTAGCTGCTCCTTTCCTGCCAAAACCTGGCCATAAAATGGTAAAAGTACTCGACGTGTCACCCCCAACCTGCCAACGGAGCTGGGAATTGGATCCAAAACATTTTTCTTTCTCTCATTCCCTCTTAAAATGCAGCCGGGTGGAATTGGGATGCGGATATCAGTGCTGCGACTGGTTTCTTTTGGGTCTCTTTAACGAGCCCTTGCTCTTTTGGGTGTACTTCTCCAGGCTGAGACCACCTGAGAGAAAAGTCACAGGATCTGATTCCCTCATTATTATCAATTGCATTATGATCTCAAAAAGCTCAGGGGAGTACGGAGGGGGTTTATCCCATAATGTCCTCAAAACAGGCCCGCGATATCAGGAGTGAACATGCGGTAGACCAGTGGCACCAAAATGTATGGGAAACTGCCATACTAGAAAAGTTAACCAGCAAACAAATTAGCATGGAGCCCCGTTCACATCCTGAAGCGAACATAACACACGACTGCTCGTCTGCGCATGCGCGGGTCGCGGTCCACCGCTTCCGCGCATGCGCGTGACGTCATTTTGAGCGCGAGCAACAAAACCCGGAAGTATCACGCCCCATTGTTTTGGGTTGCGCTCCGGGTCACCGTGGAGCGCAACCCAAAAATATTCATCCTGAAGCTACTTCAACCCCAAGGTATGACTGTATGGGCTAATCTGACCCAACAACCAACCCACCCCCTCAAATACACATGCAAAGAAGCCATACTTCTGCAACCAGCATAAACAAAGGACCAATCCACACGATGCTGATACAAACCCTACACTAACACTATGCAACAGAATGAAACAACAACACCTCCCCATCTCTCTCCCCGCTGCACTTTTATCCACTTATTTGTCTGTTTTGTAACAGAAGAACATTTTTAATTGAAACTTATTAAAATAAACAGACCCATGAGACAGAATCACTGGATTTTAGAGTTGGAAGGGTCTTTGGCAGTCATCTGTCCCAACCTTCAGTGCTGGAATCCACAGGCTCTTGTGAAGGCAAGACAGCCTGCCCCAGTGTCAAATGGCCCTTTTTACCATTGGGACATTTCTCCTAATGGAATCAAAACTACGTAGATATGGAGAATCTGGTCTCCATGATTATAGTGACCGTTACGGCATCCTCCTACTATGACATCATGACTGTTAAGAGGCAAAAGTCTGGCTTTGGGTGGTCAATTTACTGGGCCTCAATAAAAAGTGTCAATAGTATGCTGGAATGGGAGACCCTCCAGTCTAAGTGATGGAACTTGGAAAAGTGGGTTGAACCCTGACAGACGGTAAAAAGCTGCCATTTAATGTAACATACATTTTCAAACTCCTGGCACGTTTCAGCAGGACAAAGCAAATGCCTAAGTACTGATGATATGAGGCCGCCTAAATTTTTCTGTTGCCTAAATGTTGAGCCTACTGTTGAATTCCTACCTCGAAAATGTGCTGTTTTGTCAAAATACCTTTTGCTGTGATTAGATCGGGCTATGGAATTTAATTAGCGCTAATTTCCACAGTGGGAAATATTTCTGGTTGATTACTGCGATATCGCAAGCGGCGAGGAAAGCCATTGTGCCTCACGGTTTTATAGCCCATCCTAGGCAGGGGTGACTTACAGTGAAGAAATGCATTGGCACTCCAATGCCATAAATTAGATGTTGTTTTTATAATAATGTAGCTGGAGCTGGCAACATTTTATCATAAGTGCTTCAATTCCTGTGGAAAATCGTTGTGCGCTGTACGCTTGATGATGAATTGAGCATCATGTTGGGAGAGCCGGGCCAGGGCAGGAGAAGAGAAGAAATTAATCCGGCTGATTTTATTTACCGGGTGCTTGCGTGATATTTCACCTCCTAACTCAGATGTCTTTTGTCAGGCCTGCCCTCTGCAATTCATTCAAGAAATGAGGTTTTGCTCCAGTAATATCTGGACTAAATCTCCCTTTTCTGCGTTACTCTTTTCCTGGCCCAGTCTAGATCCTGGCTGCTAAACTGGGCATTGAAGGGTCAGCTTAAAACACCTGCTGGAAAACCCTTCACTGCTTTTGAGTATCTAAGAAGGCTGCTGCTTGGGTCCCAAGTGCATCATGGGATACCAAATGTGAGGAAAGGTCATCAGAAGAGCTAAGAAGGAAGAGGAAACCAAGCCCTATGAGGAGCAGTTGAAGGAGCTGGGTATGTTTAGCCTGGAAAAGAGGAGACTGAGAGGAGATACGATAGCCATCTTCAAATATCTAAAGGGCGGTCACATGGAAGAGGGAACAAGCTTGTTTCCTCCAGAGGTTGGGACCTGAACCAATGGCTTCAAGTTACAAGAAAGGAGTCCAGAAGAACTTTCTGACAGTGAGAGCTGTTTGACAGTGGAACAGACTCCCTCTGGAGGTTGTGGACTCTTATTCCTTGGGGGATTTTAAGCAGAGATTGGATGGCCATCTGTCATGGATGCTTTAAACCTGCATCCATTGCAGGGGGCCCTTGTGGCCCCTTCCAACTCTACAATGCTATGATTCTAGAAGGGTTAGTTTATGATCCTTGTGGTGCAGGGCTGGGAGATCTGGAACCTGCCAGATGTTGCTGGACAACAGCTCCGATCACCACCCCTGACCATTGGCCATACTGGCTGCTGGAACGCATGGGGGTTGGAGTCCAGCTGCGTTTAGAGACCCACAGGCCCCCAACCCTCTTGTGATGTGATAAGGACCGCCATGGCACCAGGTGCACCCACCTTGCTTAGTCAGGTGTTCAACCAGAAACCCATTCTGGAATAAAAAGAATTTGACGATGGTGGTGATCTGTTTACAATGGAGAGTATGGATACCAGGAATCCAGTTAAGCACCTGTGGGTCAGAGGAGCACTGCAATGTGGTTGCAATCACACATTAACAAATTCAGTGACACACTTCCTCTCCCGGTGAAATCTGGAACCCAAGAGATGCTGCTGGCTACGAATGTTTCTGTCTGGCTCAGAATGTGAACAATCTCACTCGCTCTCCCCCAAATGGGTGAAGCACACAGGTGCTTGACCCTTCTGCTCCTGCCCAGTACAGACAACTTCATCAATGGGAATCCAGTCAAGAGAAGCAGAGCTGACAGAGCCTGCAGTCTGGTTTCTCGCCTTCTCCTTTTTTATGTTGAGATGATGAATTGCTATAATCTTTTTTCTTCCCCTTTGCGTCCTTGTCCTCCTCCTCCTTTCCTCACAGTGTTGTCTTCTCAGACTGTGAGCCTGATATAATTACTGTGCAGTATGTCTGAGGCTCTTTGTAAACCATAAACGTTACATTTATGGTAATGATTATACAGCAGGGATGGGAAACCTGCTGGAATCCGACGCCCATCAGCTCCAGGGACACGCCCAATGGGCATGAATGATAGGAGTTTTAGTCCAACAACATCTGAAGGGTCCCCACTGTTATCTTAGGAAAAAGGTTGGGGGAAGAGGGAAAATGGAAGGCAGGCTCCCCATGTCCTCACACTAGGGCTGCCTTCACCCACCTGGTGCCCTCCAGATGTTGCTGGACTACAATTCCCATCATCCTTGATTTTTGGCCATGCTGGCTGTGGCTGATGAGAGTTGGAGTCTAGCAATATCAGGAGGGCACCTGCAGCCTAGTTCAATATTGTCTACATATCAGTGGCTATATTGTCAGTGGCTCCTTAGGATTAGGGTCATTTTATTTTTATTTGTGTCATAAAATTTACATGCCACTTAATTGCAAAAAAACCAAAACCTCAAAGCAGATTTCCAAAAGATAATACAATAAAATGAAGGGGGAAATTACTTGCCCTACCTGAGGATAGCAAGGATTGAATTTGGGGTTTCCTGTGTGCCATGTTTGTACACATTGGCCATGTGGCTGGGGTTGATGAGAACTGTAATCTGAAGAGCACCAGGTTGGAGAAGATTCCCTTAGCGGCTTGCTTCATGTTGATGCAATGCCACATTTGGCTTAGTAATATTCTGGCCTTTCTGATTTGGGGGACAATGAAGGCATTCAAAGAAACAACTTTAACCTTTTCCTTCTTCCATGTTCGGGCCAAAGGGGGTTGATACACATTCGCAACGTGCAAAGAGTTATTTTACCAGAGGTTTTCCAGCAAAGAAGGTGGTACCAGAGTGGTGTAGTGGTCCAAGTGTCAAACTAGGACCTGGGAGACCAGGGTTCAAATCCCAACTCAGCCATGAAGCTCACTGGGCGACCTTGGGCCAGTCGCTGCCTCTCAGCCTGACCTACCTCACAGGATTGTTGTGGGGTATAAATGAAGAATGGAGGAACCACGTTCACCACTTTCAGTTCCTTGGCGAAAAACGCGGGATAGGACTGCAACTGAATGAATAAATGGCCAGCTCAGATTGCTCAAGCAGAAAGTTCTCCTGACTTGGCCTTTCTATTTGCCTCCTATGTTCCAAAGATCCATCCTTCGAATCCAGAGATTGTCCCTCTGGAGGCCCTGGGGAGGAAGGTGAATTCTGCCAGAGAATGGCAATGGCGGACAACTTGCACTCACGGCATTTTGATGATGTATTGCCCTAAAGGCACAATTCAGGACAAAATAAAGCAAGTGGTTTACCTGAGGATGGGAACGCAAAAAAACAGGACTGTTGTCCCTGGTAATTAAGAACCACAAAGTATATGCAGCAGCCTCTTCCCGGCTACATATTTTACTATTATCAGGGGTCAGCAAACTTTTCAGCAGGGGGCCGGTCCACTGTCCCTCAGATCTTGTGGGGGGCTGGACTATATTTTTTTGGGTGGGGGGATGAACGAATTCCCATGCCCCACAAATAGCCCAGAGATGCATTTTAAATAAAAGGGCACATTCTACTCATGTAAAAACACGCTGATTCCCGGACCATACGTGGGCCAGATTTAGAAGGCGATTGGGCCGGATTCGGCCCCCAGGCCTTAGTTTGCCTACCCATGTACTATTTCCAGCAATGCACTTAAAATAAATTTTCTGCTTTTAGGGTTAGCTCTTATCTTTACTGTATCTGACTAACTCTGCTGCATGCCACTTAGAAACTAAGGCGTTAATTGGTATATAAACTGTGGGAAAGAAATGTATAAAGAAATATATTTCTAATGACCCAAGTTTTTTCCATCACTTTTCTTTGCCAAAGCACGTTCTGTCCCCCCCTCTCTGTCTCACACACACACATATGTGGAACTATATGCGATATAAATGTAAAGAGTACCTGCAGAAGAGGCCTCAGGCCACGCGCGTTGTTTTCCCAGTTCTCGCCTGGGGAAGAGTCACCAGCTGGCCGGCCGCTTGCGGAAATGAGCTGCGTGGCTGAGCGTCTGAGCGATGTCCAGCAGAGGGCGCCTCAGGCCAATTAAGGGGCCGGCCTCGACCTTCTCGGCCGGATCTGCGACTGCCAGCCCGGCCCCTTTTGGAAGCGGAGCCCGGGCTCGCTGGTGAGACGCCAGCGAGGAGGAGGAGGCTGATCTCACGCAACCCCTCGCGTTTCCTCCCTAGGAAAAAAATGCGCAAGCGGTGCGCGTGGCGGGAGTCAAACTCGCAGCGCATTGAGCAACATGAAAGAGATCTTGTTGAACCAGGAAGGAAGCCACGTGGAGGACGCAGGCCGGATCCAGCCCGTGTGCTCGCTTGTGGGCATCGCTCAGGGAGCTGCCGGCCCCGCCGCTTGTGACCCAGTTGGCACCGCGGCTCGTCGCCTACGAGCCAGTGTCTGCAAGGGGCTGCGAGGGGCTCCGTGCCTCGGGCTGTTTTGCACGACTGCAGTGCTTGGGGCACGCGATCGGGACCGCACCTGGTGCGCACGAGTCGAGACCCTAGAACAAACCCACCACAATTGGCACGGCGACCCACAAGCCCTCCCAGCTGTTCCCTGCTAGACTTTTCAAGAGCGAAAGCAGAACTGCGAAAGCGGACCCTGGTGGCCAGAAAATGAATGTCTGCTTCCTAACACAGCCGGCGCTCGAGCCATTTTGCAAGGTGTGAGAGCCCTGCTGGGGCCCACAGGGGCTGACCCTGATTGCTGCAATACCCTTCATAGATCCTGAGGATCAGCTAGTACAACCCCTGCAGATACGCGTGTCACAGCTAAAGAATCCCTGGAAGATGACAATACAATACAGGGCCTGCACACCGCAGAGAGAAGTGTCAGTAGTGGAAGTCCCTAAACCCAGCGCTCAGGTCCAGGAGACAAATGCGGCCTCTCATGTTTCTGTTAAGTCCTTGGCATTCTCCCCAGGCTATACCCCTCACCACTCCTGCTTTGCGGGATTTTTGCATGGCTTTGATGTGGTCTTCTGCGAACGCCTCTTGCCTGCCTGACAAGAGAGGGTTGTGTGAACAAAACTAGCCCACAGTACAAAAGTAAAAATTACATTCATTGCCCCACACACTTTTGCCCCTGGGTACAAATTAGAGGAGAGCATGCACCGAAATGCAGAACACACAACAATGCATTGTATCGGAGGGAGAAACTTGTAAAAAAATTGGTGAGTGAGAGAAAAAATGTCATTCAAAAATGTGCCTATTAAGAGAAATGGGTTTTCCATGCGGAAATATGGGAAGCTCAACTGAAGCTTGGGAAACTGAAAGGAACCACAACTGATAGATTCTCTCCTCTCCAGGCAGCAATAATAATAATAATAAGTTTGTAATATTTTCATTAGTTGTACTCCGCCTATCTGACTGGGTTAGTATCATCTATGCTGCAAGTGGGAGGTGGGTGGGGGAGGAGCCTTCCTCAAGATCTGCAGCTCAAGACCCCCTTCTCCACCACCCCATTTCTTCTCTTGCAATTTGGGTGTGAAGGTTGGCTGGCAAAACTGTTGTGCAAATTTCTGTAAACTAGCCCTGAACTGAAACTCTGCATTACGAGAGGCCTTTTCCCAGCACTCAATTGATTCCACGTCCACCTCCGTGTGTTGCTAAAGGGATTTTGGGAACCAGCAATAGAAAGCGAAGCAGGGCTCATTAACTTCAGGAAGCCATAAGGATGCTGGCAGCTTTGACACTGACTTCATCCTCCTAGCAGAGTGGGCTGCAGGCCTCACTGGGCAGTCCCCCCCCCACACCATTTGTTTCCAAGTCCTGCTTATAGCAACCTTCCAAGCACCTGTGAGAAGGTGGCATGGTTCATAGATGGCATGCAAGCAGATATGCTTGCCCTTGGTGCATTTTTAGCTGTTGCCCCTGTCAAAGAGCCCTAAGAGCAGGGTTTTTCGTGTGTAGCTTAAAAACCCAGATCTGAAGCTTTAGAGGGCTATAGTCTGGGGAATCACATCCCATGAAACCTGAGCGCTGGGGAGAGAGGGGAGTCTATTACTCGGGATATTGATGCGCATCAATAATTCAGCACCCCAATCCTTTCTCTGAATGCCTCTTTCCAAATCGCTGCCAGGCAGAGCCAGCTGACATCAACCCAAACGGCATCCGCACCTGGCTTCACGTCTGACAAGCATCTCAACGAACGGCTTTGCATTCCGAGTCCTGCCTTCACGGTGCCCAGTGAGATGGGCTGCTGAGAGCTTACCTGCTCACCAAGGTGAATCCTTGGGCACGGAGCTCACGCTGGGACTGTGGGCAGAAGGTAGGTCTGGATCTACTGGATGCAACGGGAACCCCGGAAAGGAGCTAGGAGACAGGAGTAAAAAGCAGTGGGGAAGGTGGGAGAGATATTTATTAAGAATTTAAGAGGAGGCTGCTGCATCAGGCCTAAGTCCCATCTAGTGTGACATTCTGCTCTTTTACAGAGGTCAACCAGATGCCTGCGTTGAAGCCCAAAAGAAGGAGCACTCTCCCCTCCCAGCAGTATGGATTCCTGTGGTTTAAAATATATCAGCACCCTCCCAACACTACTGTTAAAATGCCTGCAAAAATAGCAGCATTTTAACCTGGCACCTGCATTCAGGACTCTCCAGCCGTGGAACTTCACCCCTCTACAAATCAAATCAAATCAGATCTGATCTCCAGTATTTCCTGGAAGTGATGAGCCCTTGTTATGTCCAGGCAAGCATTCTGTGGCTACGGACGAACAGAAGCTTCTTATACTGGCTGATTATAAAATAATCAGTGTGTGTGTTGTTGTTTTTTAAAAAAATTAAATTAAAACCCCACCTTGTCCATAGATGGGCCACCTGGGTGCAAACTAGTCACGAATATTCCAAAAGGCTGTTATTGGCTGTGTTTGTCAAAATTGGTTACAGTGTTTATACCATTTTTGTTAGTTTCAGGTCACTTTTGTGAGGAAAGCAAATAAGAGAAGAAGGAGCCTGCAAATACTATGTACGCTTTGCTGGGGGTAAATCTCGTTTAACTAAACGGGACTCGCTTCTGCCTAGATATGCATAGGCTTGCAGTGTTAGCAGTTATTTATATAGTGCTTTAGACTGTTCAGAGCACTTTCCTTGTACAATCTCAGTCCTTACAACAACCCTGTGAGGTGGGTCACCTTCTTGCCCCCCATAGTGCAGATGGTGAGAGAGAGACTGGCTTCAGGGCAGGCCCACCCCCTGAGTTAATTGCTGTCGTTGAAATTCGAACTGGGACTCTCCTGCCTTTCTCACAATTAGCGTTTGCCCTCATGAATATATAATTCAAGGCTGGAAGGCAGGTCACTATTTGGGAATGGATGGGAATTGGCAAAGCAAGGCTTTGCTTGCTGGCAAGCCAGAAGCAGTAACGGCTTGATCAGGTGGTGACGAGCATCACACATATACTTTACACTAGAGTAGAGGAGCTCATGCACAGAATCACAGAATTGTAGTGTAGTGTCATCTAGTTCAACCCCCTGCAATGCAGGGATCTTTTTGCCCAACCTGGGGCTCGAACCCACAACCCTGAGATTAAGAGTCTTGTGCTCTACCCAATGAGCTATCCCAGGGCTGATCAGCCATGCAAAGTCATCTGCAGGAAAGGTGCTGTTGCCTGATGCTATACCACTTGAGTAAGGGGAGCCACAGATAAGTTTGCTCATACTTGAGAGCCCACAGCCAACGCCACTGGGTAGGAATTTCCTTTTCTCCTCATGTCACAGCATTACACAATTGGACAGGAACTGGGTGGAGGGAGCAGGTATTTCCCTTCTCAGAGGCCTGGGGTGCCAGTCTCAACAGCCTAGGGAAGAGTTCCTGCAGAAGGGATACCTCGGGCGTGGCATGCAGCAAAAGGTAATTTCCTGCCATTCATCTCCCTTGTGTTCCTTATTCTTGGACAGCAGTTTTAAAGCACACAGAATTCAAGGAGCAGAACACAGGCTTTGCATGCAGACTGTATGCATTTCTTAGGTACGTCTGGAAGTGTCAACAGTACTAGGCCAGATAAACTGGGTATTTTGTTATGTATACCTCCGGTTGCCATGTGAAACCTTGTTTTTTTTCCAGAAAGCTTTTGTGACTGGTCAAAGCTGCTTTGAGTGCACGGTTTTATTTTGGCCCAGCTGGGTATTTGCTATTTTATCTTCTTGCTTCTGCTTCTACTATTTTGGGTGGGTGTGGTTTGTTATCCAGCAACATTTGGAGGGCCGCAGGTTCCTCATCCTGGATATATGGGGAAGGACTGTAGCTCAGTGCTAGGGTATCTGTTTTGCATTTGGAAGATGCAAGCCTAGTATCTCCAGGCCTGAAACCCTGGAGAACCACTAACAGGCAGGCAGCATAGACCAGGTGCAGGGAACCTTTAGCTCTCCAGATGTTGAACTACAACTCCCATCAGCCTCAGCAAGGATGGCCAATGGCCAAGGATTATGGGAGTTATAGTTCAGCTTCTGGTTGGCCATAGGTTCCCCATACCTGGGACCAGTGTTTTAACATGGTGGTATTATTATTATTATTATTATTATTATTATTATTATTATTATTGGCAGCTTCCAACAGAATATACAAAAACACAACAGAACATCACAGATTAAAAGTTTCCCGATACAGAGTTGCCTCCAGATGCATATGGAAGGTTGTATAATTATTTAAACATCTACCAAAGACCCCAGCAATGTTCTCAGTGGAAGAACACTTGCTTTCAATGCAGAAGATCCCACACTCAATCCCTGGTGGAGAGCCACTGGCAGTCAAGGCTGACAATATTGAGCTAGATTAGGGATGGGAAGTGTGTGTGGCCCTCCAGGTGTGGTTGGACTCCAACTCCCATCAGCCCTGCTCAGCAGGGCCAAAAGTCAGGGATGATGGGACTTGTAGTCCAACAACATCTGGAGGGCACCAGGTTGGGCAAGGCTATCCTGTGGGAAGGCATGGAGAGACCTGCTGTTCCCTTTTCCTTCCCTAAAATCATAACAACTATGTTGCTTATTATTTACAAAGAGCCTCAAACATACTGCCCAGTATTGAAAGGAAACACCTGTCTCTGAGCAAGGTGAGCGAAGGATCTGAGTTTATCTAGGGCAGCTTCTGAATCCTGGCTTCCTATATTGTTCTTTTTCCTGTTGGGATTCTTTTTACAGCTGCATAATAGTCAGAAATTTGTCCATGGGCAGGTTTCCTGTTAAATCTCAGTCTGTCCCCAAACTGGTGAAAGACACGTGAGACAGCTACACCGAGGAATCTTCAAGCTATAGGTGAAGTGGGCCATTCCTGGAGAGGTAGAAACCTCTTCCACCCAACCCCTTGGTGAGCAGCGGTGTACAAGAGAGAAAAGGAATCCAGTTGCAACCATTATGCCCAGTCTGTTGCACGCAGAATGGGGAAGCTGAGATTCCAGAGTGGGGGAAGTGGCTTCATGTGGGGAAGGGCCCCACGGCACAGTGAGGGAGCACACAGAAGGTTCAGTCTTCAGGTGGGGCTGCCTGAAATCCTGGAGAGCTGCTGCCAGTCAGTGTAGACAATACTGTACTAGATAGACCACTGGTCTGGTTGGGTATAAGGCTGCTTCTTATGTTCCTAATATTTTAAAACTGGGGCCCCTGATATGGCATAAAGTGCCTCGAGGGTTCTGTCCTAGCACACTTACTTGGAAATGATGGACTGGAGTCAATAAGACGTCCTTCCAAGAAAACAGATTTAGGCTTTCAGATTATGACTCAGAAGGGAAGCAAGGGATCCCTTAAGAGGTGCCTAGGAGAAGGCTGGAGGGGAGCAAAGAGAGAGAGAAGGAAGGAAAGAAAACAGCCAGCATCCTGCATCTAGGCGGTTCATGTCGATGAGTCCATGTTAGCTGCCTTGCTCTGAAATGCAAGCCGTGGTCACGCCCTGCACATGAATCAACAGTGGTGCTCATCTGGAATGCATCTGCTCCAGAGCTCTGGCTCACAGCTGTCATGGAGGGGGTGGCTGCTCCTTCTTTCCTGTCAAGTCTTCAGATGTTGTGGGACAGGTCTCCATCCATCCATATCGGACGCTGAGCAGAACCGCCGCCACCATATTCTTGCCACGTTCCCCAACGTCCTCCTCCCTTTCCTGAGTCACACACATAGGCTTTGGTTTCCACAACTGGAGGGCATCCTCACCCACAGAAGGACTGTGGGGCAGGGAATTTCCTAAAGGGCAAGGCAGATTTCCCAGAGTCGGTGTGGTGTGGTGGTTGGAGTGTTGCACTAAGACCTGAGAGACCTGGTGTGGCGATCACATAGGGTCCCCAGACGTTTAACGGTCTGTTGATCCCTGTGCCACCACTGTGCTCACTTCCCCGCTGCCACCAACCCGTTACTCTCGGGTAAAACACTTGAGTCCAGACAGTTGTTAAAAGTGAACCAAAAAAACCAAGATTATTTTACAAACATTAACAAGTTTATGGTTTCTCAGATAATATTCCTGTCAGTATCTTAACTTTCGTTTCTTTACCAGTCTATACCTTCCTAATACCTTCTGTCTGATTATCTCAGCTGTTTGACTGACTCCTCTTAACAAATTCTCTCACTCTCTCACATCAGACTAGCCCAACCCACAGACTTCTTATCTAACTCCAGACTGTCTTCTCAACAACTCTAACTCCTAACTCTCCTCTCAAAAAAACCTCTCTGTGCTTATACCTTATACACAATTAACTTCGCCCCTTGGGTTCCCATTGGTTAGTCATTTTACAATTAGTTAACCCTTTCCTTATGAACCCAGTATGATGTCACACCCCTAGGAGGGCAAACGCCACACCAGGGTTCAAAACCCCAGTCAGCCATGAGGCTAACCAGGTGACCTTGGGCTGGTCGCTCAACTCTCAGCCTAAACTCCCTCACTGGGTTGTTGTGAGGATAAAATGGGCAGGAGGAGAATTACCGTATTTTTTGCTCTATAAGACTCACTTTTCCCCTCCTAAAAAGTAAGGGGAAATGTGTGTGCGTCTTATGGAGCGAATGCAGGCTGCGCAGCTATCCCAGAAGCCAGAACAGCAAGAGGGATTGCTGCTTTCACTGCGCAGCGATCCCTCTTGCTGTTCTGGCTTCTGAGATTCAGAATATTTTTTTTCTTGTTTTCCTCCTCCAAAAACTAGGTGCGTCTTGTGGTCTGGTGCATCTTATAGAGCGAAAAATACGGTATGTATGCCACCTTGAGGTCCTTGGAGAAAAGGTGGGATAGAAATGGAATAAATAAAATTTTGTCCTTAATAAATCTCCCTGAAAGCTCTGCCTATCCCCTTGGCAGCATGTGCTGTAGCTGGGACAATGGCAGTTCAAATCTCCGCCCCACCACTCAGCGTAAGGTAGGACCATTTAACACATCCTTCAGTTAAAAGCATGAGCTCAGGCTCTTCTCTGGTTGCTCCCAGCATCACAGGGAAATGGAATGTTTTTTGACTAAGGGTTTGTTTATTTTATGTAAAATATTTCTGAGCTGCCCTTCATCAAAAGATTCTAAAGCCATGTTGATTAACAGATTGTAAGTAGTTGCTGGAGGCAATGTTTGCCAAACAAGCAGAATGGAATAGATGTGAACCGTACACAGTACATATGTGGACAGCGCAAAAGGCAGCCAGGTCCGGCCTGCTGAAACCTTAACCTTTGTCTCTAGCAGACCTGACATTACAAAAAAAGTTGGCTGTACTTTTGGTCAAGAATTAAAGTGAAAAATACAGAACAGTTTGCGTCATACCTTCCCCACAGATGTTACTAGACAAAATCCTCTCAGACAAGGGACTGTATGACAACCACTACTTCTTATGCTTATATAAGAATGTATCAGAGCTGAGACATGCATTTAATCGCTTGTGATATGCATGTCCGGGGGGGGGGGGGGAGAGATAGAGAGAAAAGATCATTCTACCACTCCCCATAGACTTGGACTGAGAATCCAGAAATTAAAAAAACAACAACAACCATGTTTCCCAGCTTGTACCTGATCTGCATGCTTTGCTTCCAATGCTTAGGTTGCTGCAGATGTACTTGAGCATGACAATCAAACCATGATTTCAAAGCATCTTTTTGCTGTCTTGAAGTCAAACTTAGGTTTTGACCTGAATAGTAGCTCACAGCATTGATTGATTGATATTGCATTTCTATACCCCTTTCCTCAAAGGAGCTCAAGGCTGTGTACACAAACATCTCCCCCTTCTCCATTTTATCTTCACGACAACCTTGCGAGGTAGGTTAGGCTGAGAGATAGTGACTAGCCCAAGGTCTCACGGTGAGAATTTTAACCCGGGTCTCCCAGGTCCTAGTCTAACACTCTAACCACCACACCACACTCGGTCCCACACCATGCATTTTGCTACGGACCATCTTTCTTTGCAAATGTCAAAGGCAGGTATTTAGGGGTGGGTGAGCGTCCTGTTGCTTGCCCCAAATGGGGCTGAGTCATTGCCGGGGGAAAGGTCTGCTAGGAAGGTCCTAGCTCAGTGGTAGAGAACCTGCTTTGCCTTCAGGAGGCTCCAGGTTCAATTCCTGGCATCTCCACCCTGGGCTTGGACTGTCCCCTCCTTGGAAGCTTGAAGAGTTGCTGCCCATCAGTGTAGACAGTGCTGTGCTAGATGGACCAGTGGTCTGATTCAGTACAGGGCAGCTTCCTTTGTCCCTACGTACCGTCTGCCTCCTCCCCATCTCTCAAGGCAAGTGACTGAGGCCCTCGTGCAAGGAGGGGGCAGCGGTAGCAGCACCTTTGAGTCCTTTCCTTTGAGCATCACCATTCTATGATGCTAATAAGATGCTTTCTTTTTTGCCGGTTCCAAACACAAGTTTGCCAGTCCCTTGAGACAGAGATTCGCAAAATAAACTCTGGAGCCAGAGTGGAGTCTTTAATAAAGGTTCAGTGTGACTCACACTGATGAGTCTTGTTCTTAATTGCCCGGGTAAACTGCACAAACAATTCGCTTTGAAGGAACGGCCTCTCAGATCTCCTGTTGTATTTGTGGAAGACCCAGGCAAGGATGGAACACAACCTTGTAAGCTTTGTAAAAACTGAACAAAACAAACAAACAAAATCTGGACAGCAATGTTGGATTCTGCTTTCAGGTTTGTTTCCAGAAGCCTAATTCTCATACCACTCTGTGGCCACCTCACTCTTTCTCTGCTGACAGAGTCAAGTTTGCTGGCTGAGATCCAGGATTCACATCCCTGAGCCAGCTTTTGACCCAAATTGCTGAAGTCAAATTTGAGAGGAGAGAGAACAGCGATCTCTAAGATACTGGTTGGGGGAGGGGGGAGGATTGTTACCATGAAAAAGGAAGGAAGACCCTCAGGTACCCTTGCTGAGAATCTCATAACGCCAGCAACAATAAGGGTTGGTGCTATTTGAGCGGATCAGCCTTCCCCAACGTGGTGCCCTCGAGGGCAAGCGCTGGCTGGGGCAGGTAGGAGCTGCAGCAGCAACCCCATGGAGGGCAAAACCCTTTCTTACGTCATTGCAAAAAAAAAAAACTGGCAACAAGAGCAGCGGTGTAATGCACAAAAGACCATTCTGGTTTTGGATTGCTCTCAAGGTAGGCCCATAAGGAAATCTGCACACATGAAAAAGCAGGCTCTATTTAGCATTCAGGTTTCAGGTGCCCCCTGTGAGCCCAACTGCCCTTTATTAGGTCGTGTCCAGAAATATGGGGTAGGCGCTTCTCTCATTTTCTTTGGTAAGGATGGGGAGTTTTTTGTGCATTCTTTTTTTACTCCTCCTGGCTTTGGTTTTGGTAAGAAAATATTTGGAACAGAAATAATTATTGTTCTCACCTCCAGCAGAGTGGCTAGAGGTTCTTGGCCAGTGGTGGGGAACTTCTCCATAGCTCAGAGGAAGAGCATCTGCTTTACATTCAAAAAAGTCCCGAGTTCAATCCCAGATAGGGCTGGGAAAGTGTCTTGCCTGAAACCCTGGACAGCAGCTGCCAGTCAGTGTAAGCAATACTGAGCTAAGAGGGGCCAACGGTATAAGCCAGCTTTCTGTGGCCCTCCAGGCCGCTCTCTCTGGCCCTCAGAACTCTCCCCAGGACACACCCCTCACTGGTCCCCCTCACCCCCCTGAGTGTTTTGCATGTCCTTGAACCCTAATAATGCTTCTTGCTTGTCTGAATGGAGGACAGAGAGGGATGTGGGAGTCGCATGTGTAGAAAACCAGGCTATTGTACAAATTTACATACGTTGCTCCGCCAACTTTTCCTGGTAGCCCCTCCCACCACTGGCATGTGGCCTCCAGAAGCTTGCCCAGAAGGTAATGTGGCCCTTGGGTGAAAAAAATGACCACTCCCAATCTTGATGCAGAAGAGGCTGAGAAGGAAGCCACCCTCCCAAAGGATGAATGGCACCCACCTAGTACCATGATTGGCACCCCTTTGTGCCAATCCGAGGCCCTTATGCCAGATCACCTGACGAGTTGCCGCTCTGCTGCAAGTAACACAGAGCTGGGCCAGGAGCCAGAGAAAGAATCAGCAAATGCTCCTCTATCATCCCGTTTTGCCTTGTGGTGGCTGTTAGCTTGAAGGGCTTGAGGCTTTTCCTGGATTTGCGGAATCAAGGCCTTGTGCTGACACTTCAAACTCTCATTCCTTCCCCGGGATTCCTGTTAATTTCTTTCTTCCCTGTTCCTTATGGTTCCCGGTTCGGGAGGAAGGCCACCATCGTGCCCCTCTCCCTTAGTATTTAAGCCATCGCTCAGGTTACCTCACTGGGCTCAGTCCATAGGCACTGACTATGTGTGGCTAATAGATAGGAATGCCAGTTTGCACAATGACCCAAGATTAAAATTAGGTAAGAAATCGCAAGTAAGAAAACTTAACATGCCTGATGAATTATTTTTTAAAAAGGTCCTGTGGAAGTTCAACAGGAAGTGGGCTTGGCTGACAGAATAAGAATTAAATAGAGGGTCAGGCCATATAACCCAGTGTTTCCTGTTCTGACTGGCAGCAGCTGCCCAGGACTCTCAGGTCAAGAAAGGGCTCTTCCATCAGCCACTTCCTGTTTCTTTGTAACTGGAGAGGCAAGTAACTGAACCCAGAACTGTCCACGAGGAAAGACTGTGCTCTGCTAACCACAACCCCCTCAGCAATAATATGTGAAGAAGAGGGATTTGCTGCCAAACTGGTAAAACACATCGAAAGTGCCTGTGAGGAACACAGAGGGGAGGAGACCCAACCCCCACAGAGGTCTCTTTTTTTCCTAATTAAAGGAAGGGTTTCTCATGGGACGAGGCACAATCCTTTGCACCCTTTCCCAGGACTTCTTCTTTCACTGTAAAGAACAATCCCACTCGGCTGTGAACTTCAAGGAACGAAAAGGAATTAAATAGCGCCTCTGTTTGTGTCGGCCTTCACCTTGGCTGCTCTCTTGCAAACGGGGCCTGTTTCCTTTCCCAAGGCACAACAGGCAAATGAGGTGGGGGGGTTGAAATATCTCTTCCTGCTTCCTGGGTATTGTGGTTCACCATCACGTCAAAGAAAATTTTAAACCACTCTCTCCTCCATTGCTCTCTGTAGCCTCAGGGTGAGCGTTCATCACCAAGTCCAGCGACTGGGCTTTGTACCTGGAGCTGGAGTATGCCTTGATTGGAGCAGCTATTGGTTTTGTTTTGTTTTATCAGTTGCCTGGTTTTCAGTTTGAAAGCAAGCTTCCAAAGCAGGTGGCAGGATGATTTAAAAGATAAAGCATACAAAAGGATGTATAATAAATTAAATAGAATGCACAACAAAAATAAATAATAGTAAGGGCTCAGTAATAATAATACAAACAGCAAGATGAAAACAGAGGCAAGATACGAATTGCAGAACCAGGGTGAAATACCGTATTTTTCGCCCTATAGGACACAATTTTCCCCCTCCAAAAATGAATGGGAAATGTGTGTGCGTCCTATGGGGCGAATGCAGGCTTTCACTGAAGCCTGGAGAGCGAGAGGGGTCGGTGCGCACCGCCCCCTCTTGCTCTCCAGGCTTCGCGCAGTTCTCCGCAAGGTGCGGGAGCCCGGCGCCAGGCTCCCACGGCTTGCGGAGAGTTGCCTGTTCTGGGGGCTGGGGTCGGGGGAAGCTCGGGCTTCCCCCGCCCCAGCCCCGCGCCTGGGGGGGAAATAAATTTTTTTCCCTTTATTTCCCCCCCCCCAAAAAAACCTAGGTGCGCCTTATGGGACGGTGCATCCTATAGGGCAGAAAATACGGTACCATAGGAATAAAATCATTTGGCATTAAATCATCAGGGCATTCTCTTGGCAAGAAAACTGACTAAAATGCCTGGATGAATAAAAACGAAGACGTCAGCTTGATCTGGTGCCTGAAACTTAAAAGTGAGACTCCATTGTCATAAGTCAGGTGCCACCACTAAGAAGGCCCTTTCCCCGGTTACTCGCCACTGAAGACAGGGCACCACTGAGGCAACGAAGATACTAGTTCTGAGGCAGGTTCATGCGGAAGAAGGTAGTCTTTCAAGTTCCAGAGACTCAAGCCTTCTGTCTTCTCCTCACAGCGAGAATATCTGTCCAGAAAGGTTTGCCCATTTGAGTGAGTGGAGGGGGCTGCGGGGGCTGCATTTGCACTAGTGGTACAGGAGCATGTTATGCAGTATATAAAAGTTTGAAGTAAATAAAATAAATATAAACATGCACCAACTACAGTGGTACCTCAGGTTACATACGCTTCAGGTTACATACGCTTCAGGTTACAGACTCCGCTAACCCAGAAATAGTGCTTCAGGTTAAAAACTTTGCTTCAGGATGAGAACAGAAATCGTGCTCTGGCGGCGCAGCAGCAGCAGCAGGCCCCATTAGCTAAAGTGGTGCTTCAGGTTAAGAACAGTTTCAGGTTAAGAACAGACCTCCAGAACGAATTAAGTACTTAACTTGAGGTACCACTGTACTTAATTTCCAAATTGTATTAATCATGTGAAGAAATATGATAAATATGAACAAATATGGGGGAATTCTGATCATAAATAACACCGAGTTTTGCTATTTAAATGTAATTGGGTTTGTTTGTCTTTTAAGAAAGTTTTGAATCTGGATTTTACAGCTCCTCTTCAATGCCAGCCGCAGAGTTCCACACTCCTAAGCTATCTCCCCTTGGCTCTCTTTATTAGCTGCTGGAATTGATTTGGTTTGGTTTTTCCGGGAAACTATGGCAAGATGCTGCCATGTTTTGCAACCACTGCCTGGCATGGCCCACCATACCCCTGCCAGCAGGGCCACCTGCGCTGGTTTCAGTGACGTCAAATGAGTCCCAGAAATGCTGACATCTGCTCCTGAGGTTTGCCGCTAAAGTGCTTTTCTTTAGATACGCAAGTCAAGGGACTTTACCTGGAGCGTTGCTTGGAAAAAGTGTTTGAAGTTTCTATAGAAGGCATTTAGGAAAAACTTACCCAACGAAAAATCTGGGCTTTGCTCCTCGGCCAAGTCTTACGCACGCTTGGCCTCCTCCTCCTCCTCGCCTCGTTTCAAAGTTATCTTGTTTCTCCAACAGAGGGACTCCCCATGGCCATCAATCTGAATGAGGTTGACACACCTCCCCATAGGCCTATATTTCAGCTGTTCATAAATTGGCAAGTTTTATTGTCCATTTTGATTGCTCTGCAGCCAGGGGGTGGGGTGGGGGAAATGTCAAAACTTTTTCGCCTTGTTCAACTGAAGAAACACGTAGCTGCCAGGTAACGTAATGAGTTCTGTTAAGGGAACTTAAGGGTTTTTTCTCTCTCAAACATAGAAATCAGTGCCTATTTTGACTTCTCTGCCTAGGAAAGCCAACATGCTCAGAGGCTACAAGTACCCCCAACAAATGCTTCGTTCCCGACTCCCTGGGACAAAAGTGTCAGTGATAGACAGTCTAGCCTCCGAAGGGAGGTGCATAAGTTGTGTGTGACTTTTTGTAGATTCGCTGTTTGCTTGCCTATTTCAAAATGGTATACCCTGCATTTCTTTGTGACTAAACCAAATTAAACATATTGGTAATTGCAGATCACAAACACACAGAGCAGACATTAAAACAGCTATGCAAATGTACAACAATGCCCTCAAAACTGCCTCAGCCAATCTCAAAAGCTTTCTGGAAAAGCCACATCTTCACACTGCTTCTGAAGGGATACAAAGGGAAATGACTTATATGTCAGACCACAGATCCACCTCGCCCAATACTGTCAACCCCGACTGGTAGCAGCTCTCCTGAGTATCAGGCAGCAGTCTCTCCCACTTCTACCAGGAGACTGAACTCGAGACTTTTTGCATGCTTCCACACAGAATCATAAAATTGTAGAGTTGGAAGGGACCACAAGGGTCATCTAGTCCAGCCCCCTGCATTGCAAGAAACTTTTGCCCAACGTAGAGCTTGAACCCACAACCTCGAGAGTAAGAGTCTCATGCACTACCAACTGAGCTATCTCAGATGTGCATCAGCACTGGCAACTGATCTGTGGTTGGGGTGAGAATCATGGAACATTTCCTTTCCTTCCTAGATTTATAGGCCACTTTTCTACTGAAGCACTTGTGGCACTTTGCAGTTTTAAGTATTGACACACTGTCTAAGATGCAGGAAAGGAAACGTTGTGGGAACTGGAGGGTTGTGGGGGAAGAAGAAAAAGAGGGAAAATAAGAAAATCCAGGTACTAACTTTTTCTTACCATTCCATTGGCCTGATGACATAATGAGGTTGCATAATGTGGGTGCAATGAATGGTCACTGCAGCAAATCCACTTTTTAAGAAAAGTCTTTTTTTTTGGAGTTACTGAAGTGACAAGAAAATGCATCGAAAAGTTTGGGAGGGATGAGTAAAAACATATACACACCTTGGAAGCAAATCACAATGAATGCTCAACAAACAGGTGTTTTGGAAGACCCCTTAAGGAGATAATAAATGGAAGTGTCAACAAAATGCAGAGTAAAACTTTCCTGTGTGAGTTAAAATCACAATCTTGCTTGTTCATTTATGTGCAACTTAGGCTCAGGGGATGACACCATTCCCTTAACATTTGTTTGCCCCACATCCTACTTTTTAATCTGTGATAAGAGCTTGCCGCACACCTATTTTTACAGCACATTGTGAAAGCCAAGAGGTATAAACAAATCTTTTCAAACAATATTCCTTTCATTTATGACATCAAAAACAGACCTGCAAGATAGCCTAATTCCCTCACCCTAAGACCCCATTACATTTTAATTTATCTATCAATCCATCAGATTTTACCCATCAGATTTATGTCATAAAAATCACAATGAAATTGTTATCTAATGGCTCTTAATAAATGTCAAAAAATAACTTGTGGATGGTCATTTGAAATATATTGGAAGTCATTAAACATCAATTAAACTATGTTTTACTAATACTTTATTACAGTCTTTTTAACTGAACTGCGAGGAGGGGGAAAGATTTGCTGGCTGCTTTATTTAAGTCAAGACATCGTAAAAGTTCTTACTGCTTTCACTATTAAATATATTGATTCTGCTCAAATTTTTCTCCTAGGAGAATCGCTGACAGCTGTTCCTTACAAACAATCCTGACGGCAGAGAACTGTAGGAGGGTGTTCTGTGGCTCCACCTCACTTAACCACAGGGAAAGCTGCTAAGGGGCTCTTCCCTTAAAAAATTAGGACCAATAAAATTGACACCTGGGTCTCAGCCACCACTCACCTGTAGAAATGGTACCTGGAATGGCCCTTCAGAAAGCAGGTGGGAGGGTTGTGTGGCTGAATGCTTATAGGTGTGTGAGGCTGTGTTAAGAGATGGTTTTTAAAAGATGGGGCACCGCACCCTTGGACTACTCCAGCAAATGTCCATCCACCCAAACTTTCAGCCCCTGAACTTCAAGGAGGCCCACCAACCTGCCTCAGGAATATGCGAAAGACAAGCTGTACTAAATACAGAGTGACAAGATAGCATAGACCAAACTGCCCTATAGGAAGTCAGGCAGAGACATGGTAGGCAAGGGAGCACTGAAGGACCTTGAAAAGAGAGAGGTGGGGGGGGGAATCACACCCAAACCTGCAGCTAAGAGGCCCATTGCAAAAACCAATGGCGTGGCCTTGTCCTCCCTGTGTTTGAGCAATGCTAGCTTCCTGTGCATGCTTTCCTATGGCCCACAAGTAACCCAGAGATGCATTTTAAATAAAAGGGCACATTCTACTCATGTAAAAACACACTGATTCCTGGACCGTCCATGGGCTGGATTTTGAAGGCGATTGGGCTGGATCCGGCCCCGGGGCCTTAGTTTGCCTACCCATGATCTACAGCTACAGCATCCCAGACAGCTGCTGTCCTCCTTCTGCTTTAATGCCTTCAGCAAAGGAGAGCCCACTGTCTGTTCTACTAGCAAAGAGCTCTAAATCAAGAATAACTGTCAAGTTGTAGGTTAGCTGGATGCTGGAGGAACCATGCGGCCATTCGTTCACACATTTGTGCATTTTTGTGTGTGCATGTATTCCCTGCCCTGATGCCATCATGGCACTTGAAAGGTGGCATCCGTGAGGTTCCCAGGTTGTCTCCCATGCAGATACTGACCAGACCTGCAAGGTGGCAGCCCTCACCTCATGCCCCGAGACATTCCAGACCAATCACAGATCTGTGCCCAGTCACTGCACAGCATCAGAGTCACTTTCCAGCCATATCTACCAAGTGCCAAGTTGATTGCCTAGTCTGACCCTAGATGCTTTTCATCTTGATAACCTTAGCAGGGCTACTGCCTCTCAGCACCTTCACATACACAACCCATCTCCCGTACAGGGAATACCAGGACTGCGTGACCTTACTAGACAACTTTTGAGGATCACTAAACTAGTGTTTTTTCAAAGGGCTTTGAATACTCGCAATAAAAGCTGGTGCTACTGGGAAGTGTCACTATTATTGGGGAATATCTCATGCTGTGGATGGCATGAGCTGATGGGGAGGAAGATAACTTCTACACAGTGAGCAAAATAAGCAACCCATCATTTTGTTATACAAGTAGCTATTAGCATTCAATAATACTCTATTGTGTCAGTGTACAAATGTGTCATTATCCTCCACTTTCCTCCGCTGCTCCTTGAATTATTACTATGGCTACACTCCCCCCTCTCCCCGTCCCTCCCCATTTCTTCTTCTGTAAATTAGCAAGTAATAGATCTCTGTTAACTAAAGCTAAACAACCCTTCAACCTCTTTCTCCGTGATAAAGCTGTAGACGAGAGCATTTCGCTGCAAAAATAGTAAATAGGCACCATATGTCATCAGCAGAACTAATGTCTCCACATACATGTAAACCTGGGCTAATGGGCCCTGCCAAAATATTTTAAACCATCTGTTTTGACTTAGCTGTTTTTGAGAAATTATGTTTATCATGCTAATTTATTTTGCTGTCAACAGCACCAAGTGAGACAGTTGCTGCTAAACAACATCATTATATATATCGCATTTCTGGCACAATACCAGCAGGCTTTTGCTTCTCTCGTTCAAAATGCGACCGGAATAAATAAGCAGTAACGTTGTCAGCATATTTAAAGATCTAGCACGGGGTGGTAATGCATCTGCCTGGATCTGCAGTGTTCCAGCAAGGGGATGCTGGCGCAGAGCAGTCCTTAAGGGTAGACACCAGGGCAGCCTCAGGAGGAATGGCAGGAGCGGTGCCACAGGTGGCCCAGGAAGTGGGCATCTGTGCAGCAGACCTGGAGAGAGAACAGAAGGGCCCTGCACGCATGGATGAGATGACACAGAATCAGGTTTACACTTCTGTCTGTCTTCCTGCACTGCATGGCACTGATGCTTTCTCTGTGGGCACTGGGGCTGCATGCACACCCTAGAACTGAAACAGGCCAGTGGCCATCTGGCCCAGCATCTTGCTCTCACAACAGACAATGCCAAGCCCCCAAGCAGGATACGAGTGCAACAGCCCTCTTGCCCACCTGTAAAAGATACCCAACAACAGGTATTCAGAGGCATAATGCTTCTACCTATGGTGGTGGAACACAGTCAACCTGGCTGGTGATAGCCATGGAGAGCCTTGCCCCCCTGTGAATTTGCCTCATTCTGACTTGAAGCCATCCAAGTTGGTGGCCATCACTGCCTCCTGTGGCAGTGAGTTCCCCAGTTTAACTATGCGCTCTGTGAAGAGCTGCTTTCTTATATCTGCCCAGAATCTGCCAACATCCAGGTCCATTGGACACTCACAAGTTCTAGTGTTTTGAGAGAGGCAGAAAAACGTTTCTCTGTCTTCTTTCTCCTTGCCATGCATAATTTTTATAAATTTCTGCTATGTCACAACTTACTTCTTTGCTAAGCTAAAAAAGTCCCAAATGCTGTAACTTTTCCACATACAGTGGTCCCTCGGGTTAAGAACTTAATTCGTTCCGGAGGTCCGTTCTTAACCTGAAACTGTTCTTAACCTGAGGTACCACATTAGCTAATGGGGCCTCCCGCAACCGCCGCAGCACGATTTCTGTTCTCATCCTGAAGCAAAGTTTTTAACCCGAGGTACTATTTCTGGGTTAGCGGAGTCTGTAACCTGAAGCGTCTGTAACCTGAAGCGTCTGTAACCCAAGGTACCACTGTATGAGAGTTACTCCACCCACATGATCAGTTTGGTTGCCGTTTTCAAACTCTACAGTATCTATTGAGGGTGCGGGAGGCATTTGAAGCATGTCTATAGAACATGACTTTCCCCCCAAAGGACTGCTGGGAGTTAGTTTAGAAATTGATCACTTATAAGATGACAAATTGTGGGATCATTACGCATTTGCCTTGCAAATGTGTACATGGAACGTTTATGACAAAGGCCATTGAAGAAGAACCTTCCCAAAACGTGTCTAACGACGTTTCCCCCATTTGAGCGTATCCACACTCTAGTCTTGGTTTTAGGCTTGTTTGACTGTCTCGGAGACTGTGCGGATGCTAGGACGCTTAACTGCCACAACGTGTCGTGTCTGATCCAGACCCAAGCCACGACTCCCGACTCCTCTAATGACACAAAGTCTTAACGATCTCATGGGGCCTCCTGACTTTGGTTTCCACCTCACTGATTATGTCATAGTTTAACAGCAAAAATAAAAAAAAAATTAAATTGTGCATCGTATTTGCTGTATTACCTAATGTTTCCTGCTCTTTGCTACCATCTGGGTTCAGATTAGAGATTGTTTCTTTTTGGGTTTCCTGCAGCATCTCTTCCCCACCCCCACCCAGCAAAATAGTCAGCGTCTTGGACAGGATATATATTAAAGGAACCAGAAGTCTCTCTGGCCATTTCAAAGAGGTTACTTCTCAGACACTGGATATACACAAACATCCCCATGCTATCTAACAGATAAGACAGTCATGCTGTACTTAGCTGGTTTCCTCGCTCTAACAAGGAGCGTTTGTGCTGGGTTGCCAAGGAAGTTACTGTTTCTGTGTATCCACTACACTGCCAACCTTTGTCAAGTCATGCTAATGCCAGAACGGAAAAGGCTCCACTGTGTCAGATGTCTTTTTCCCGGGGGGGGGGGGTGGAGGAAAAGACAGCATCTCACTCCATCTAGCAGCATGTTAATATGGGTGTTGTATTCTGAGAACTAAAGGTGTTAACAACACCAGGGAGAGCCCAGCTAAATATCTAGCACTACTTATCTGGTATAAAGAGGGCTGATCGCCGAAGAATTGATGCTTTTGAATTATGGTGCTGGAGGAGACTCTTGAGAGTCCCATGGACTCTGCAAGAAGATCAAACCTCTCCATTCTTAAGGAAGTCAGCTCTGAGTGCTCACTGGAAGGACAGATCCCGAAGCTGAGGCTCCAATACCTCATGAGAAGAGAAGACTCCCTGGAAAAGACCCTGATGTTGGGAAAGATTGAGGGCACAAGGAGAAGGGGATGACAGAGGATGAGATGGTTGGACAGTGTTCTCGAAGCTACTAACAAGAGTTTGACCAAACTGCGAGAGGCAGTGGAAGACAGGAGTGCCTGGGGTGCTCTGGTCCATGGGGTCACGAAGAGTCGGACATGACTAAACAACAACAACAACTTATCTAGTCCGCTGGAATAGACTCTGTTGGGAGGTTGTGGAATCTCCTTCCTTGCAGGTTTTTTTAAGCAGAGGTTGGATGGCCATCTGTCATAGGTGCTTAAGTTGAGATTCTTGCATTGCAGCGGGCTGGACTAGATGGCCCTTGGGTCCCTTCAAATCCCACAATTCTGTGATTCTATGATTCTGAAAAACATATGCTGTGTGATTTTGCTTACCCAGTTCACAACAAGATGCCATTACGATGCTCAGATGGGGCTATCCTGGATCCCACCCCTTCCATTTGACATTTGTATATCAGCTAGCACCCCTCTGCTTTGATGGCACAGAAAACTCACCAGCTTCTGTCTCAAGGCTGCTCCTTCCACTGCAGATTCTCCCAACATTTTTGACACAGTCAAGTTTGAAGATGAGCCTTCTTTTTTCAAGCGCGCCCTCACATTGCGAGGCGTAGTATTACAACTTTGGGCCGGACTTCTATTTTCAATTTTGCAAATACTAGACAAAACAAGCACAAGGCAGCATATTCAGAAATAACATTGGCCAGGAGATCTGCTCGCCCATTTATGTTCTGTCATTCCCAACTATCCATATTTTCCATTACTGCAGGTTCATGGTCTCCATGAGTTTGGGGAAGCTTCTTAACTCCTGCAGGTGATTCAATAACAACCCAAAATGGGCAGCCCATGGATGAGTCCAAATAGATCCACTGATCAAACTGACTGTACTATATGCTTGATATATTGACTCAGAAAGGGCAGGTATGAAGTAGGGAGAGGCAAGCTCCCCAAGGAAATAGGTCATTCTTGCAAGCTTCCTCTTCAGCTGATTGGTTTACTTTGCCTGGGATCTGGAGAAGAATGGAAGGACACCTTTTGCTGGCTGTTTAATAAAAATGCAAACTCAAGTTTATATATATATATATATATATATATATATATATATATATATATATTCATATCCTTATCCTACACATTAAGACCACTTCCTTGTTAAGCCAGGAAGGACATAATAAGGGATCTTAAGTTCACACTGCAGGACATCCAGACAGGAGACATTCCCTGCCTAAATCTAGTTATCCTACACCAGACATCTGCTAGGAAGTTTGTTCAGCTGGGCAAACACGCAAGATATACAAAAGGAAGACTCTTTTAAACAATGGAGTGTGAAAAGAGCTTTTCATTTGCATGAGCTACTCTATAAACAAGAAAATGGAAAGCTATTATTATTATTAATTTATTATTCATTATTATTATCATTATCATTATTATCATTATTATTCCCCACCTTCACCCTAAGGTCCCAGAACAGGTTACAACAATTAAAACACAACGTTAAAAACCTTCTGTAGCTGACGCACACCATCACAGTCTTTCTGCCTCCTTAAAACCTAGGAATCTCGTTGCCTGAAGCTTTACCCTGGGACAAACACAGAGGGAAGTCACCTTGCAGTGATTTAACTGTGTCCAAAATTACTGTGTGTTCAACAGTATCTGATCCACACAAGGTCATATGATGATTATGGAGTAATCCTCAATTGTAATCCACCTTGCAGTTTATTGCAGATTGGAGGCAGAAGACTGAGCTATGCATCATCCCTGAGTGAACTTGAAGGGGGAAATGTAAACCTTTGTCCATGTGGTACAGAGGTTAACTTGTTGGATTTGGAGCAAGGAGCCCCAGGTGCCATAAAACTCACAGGGTGACTGTAGGCCAGTCATTGCCATCTCTTGGCCTGACCTACCTCACAGGATTGTTGTGAGGCTAAAATGAGAGAGGGTACAACCCCTTTATCAATACTGAAGCTCCTATGAGCCTGCCTTACACAGAGAACAACAGCCGTTGCTGTCAATATGCCACTTACGTGCCAAAATGGCTTCTAGGTGGTATACAAGTATAAGATCAATTGTAAAATCCATACCTAATTAAAATACACAAGCAAATTGATTCCATCAAAGCATTAAAAACATTGACAGTTTTAAAAAACGCCACAAAACAAGCCAGCTAACATAACCATTGAAACACTTCAAAGGAATTATTAAATTGAAAGTTCAAGTTCAGAGGAATATTTGCCAAAATAAGTGAGCCTTCCAGAGCACAGTCAAAACCTCCACTCACCCACAAAGTTCGCTGGGTGCCATAGACTGATGTCCCTGTCTAGGCCACTCTGGCAACCAGAGGTCATTTCCACCTCTCCTATCCTAGATCCTCTATACTGAAAAGGCAAGGGCTCCTCCTCATGCATATTCTCTCTGCCCCTGAAGAATCATGGCACTCCCTGCCTCCTCCAAGCTCAATATTCCTGTTGTCGAAGGATTGGCAAGGTTGGCCTAGTTCCTCCTTAGTCCACATTGGTGGTGCCTATGAGATGAGAAAGTCAGTTGCCCAGACTTAAGTGCTGAAAGGCAAAGAAAGGTGTTGTATAAATCAGTATCTATAGCACTCACAAGCCACCCTTTCTTGAAGGCCATTTCTTCCAGGGCCGTGAGTACACATGGCTCTCCATCCCTCCATCCCTGTGAGGGAAGTTAGGCTGAGAGCTAAGGGACTGGCCCAAGGTCACTCACTTAACCAAGAGCTCTTCCACACTGGAGAAGGAGAAGACACCAGCAACAGCAGAGAAGCGAGCAGAAGAGGCAGGAGCTCTTTTTCTGTCTTAAGAGTTCTTGCCTGCACATTCAGGGGCAGGAGTAGTGGTCTATTTGCATCTTGCTACCCTGATATGCACAGGCGAGGATGTTCTGCTGTCATACTGGTTACAACCAAGAGGCTCCTTCAGGTGAGTAATTCATAGGTTGTCACTAGACTGAAGTTATCTTAATCGTCATAAGCTTGATTAATCATATGAATTTTAATTTGTTTATCAATTAATTGATTCTGCATTCATTACATAAAACTATAGTAGTTTTTTTCAAAAGCACACTTTCTTTACTTTTAGCTGACACCTGTAAGCATTGTAGCCAACACCGTCTGAGAAGGGATTCCTCTGTGTGTGTGTGTGTGTGTGAGAGAGAGAGAGAGAGAGAGAGAGAGAGAACACACGAGAACACCAAATGAAAGTGGTCCTTTCCTATATCCAAATCTCACAAATGAAAATCTATAGGAGGAGGATGTTATACCAAACACAGATGCTTATACTGAGCCAGCCACTGGTCCATATAGCTCAGTGCTTTCTACACTGGCTGGCAGTGGCTCTCCAGTACAGTGGCACCTCGGGTTAAGTACTTAATTCGTTCCGGAGGTCAGTTCTTAACCTGAAACTGTTCTTAACCTGAAGCACCACTTTAGCTAATGGGGCCTCCTGCTGCTGCCGCGCCGCCAGAGCACGATTTCTGTCCTCATCCTGAAGCAAAGTTCTTAACCTGAAGCACTATTTCTGGGTTAGTGGAGTCTGTAACCTGAAGCGTATGTAACCTGAAGTGTATGTAACCTGAGGTACCACTGTATCTCAAATAAAAGTTGCAACAACACAAGAAGAAGCTGCTGGATCAGGCCAGTGGCCCACCTAATCCAAGATGTTGTCTTCACAGAGGCCCACCAGATGCCTGGGGAAAGAATGCAAGCTGGACCTAAATACAACAGCACTCGCCCCGCCTGCAATTCCCAGCAACTGGCCTTTGTAGTGCTGGCAGTATGATTTGGATCCTTGTAAAATACAGGGACCAAAATAAAAATAAGGCAGGAAGTAGAGTTATGTTTGCTTTTATTGGCATGGCTTCACAAAAACATTTGAAGTCCGTATATAACCAGCACCTACCCTCTTGAACTATCCCATACAGGGCAGCACTTTTAACCATGCTGATTAATCCTGTTCCCATTAAAAAAAAGAAAAAAGGTTCTTCCCATTCTAATTTGATTTTTTTTATCTCCTAGACCTTTTAAAACCCTGTTTTACTGGGCACGCTTCCTGTTTCAGAATGTGATTTTCACCCTCAACTTGCCGAACAACCCTCCCCCCACCTTTCCCTCTTGCAACTGGGATTAATATAATTGCTGTAAAGGGAAAGTGGGTGGCCGGGGGTGGGGCACACCATTGCTTTATTCATATAAAGGGATTATCAAGGGCCAGAAATAAATCTGCTGTTCTGGGCGTAGCCAGAGATCACATTGCAGAACACAGACTTCTAAGCAGAGGTGAAACCAGATTGTTGCAAACTTTCGTTGGGTGGGTGGGGGAGATCGAGATGAAGAATTTTCTTGCAACTGTGGCTGATTTCCTGTGTAAACTGAAACCATGTGATATTCCATGAAGACATCCAGCTCTAAATTACAGGAAATGAAACCCATTGTGGGGGAAAAGACAGCTCCAGAATAAATTCCCAGATGAGGTATTTTTACCACAAGGTTTCAGGCTGGTTACATTCTCTTGGAGGGTCTCCTGCATACCTGTCAGTCATTAAAGTAATCACCTGTGGACAGCAGCATACAGACATGGGTTCCCAGGGGCATTTGTAAGAGTTTATGGCTGTTGTTGGTGCAGGGTGCATCTTTAAGGCTGAGCTGAGCAAGGGAACCTGTGGTGCTCATGTGCTGATCTAGGGGCCATGTTCATTAAGGGGTCTTCCAAAACACCTGTTTGTTGAGCATTCATTGTGATTTGCTTCTAGGGTGTGTATATGTTTTCACTCATCCCTCCCAAACTTTTCGATGCATTTTCTTGTCACTTCACAAACTGCAAAAAAGGCGTTTCTTAAAAAGTGGATTTGCTGCAGTGACCATTCATTGCACCCACATTATTCAACCTCATTATGTCACCAGGCCATTGGAATGGTAAGAAAAATTTGGTACCTGAATTTTCTTATTTTCCCTCTTTTTCTTCTTCCCCCACAACCTTTCCTGTCCTGCATCTTGGACAGTGTGTCAATATTTTAAACTGCAAAGTACCATGAGAGCTTCAGTAGAAAAGTGGCCTATAAATCTAGGAAGGAAAATGTTCCATGATTCTCACCCCAACCACAGATCAGTTGCCAGTGCTGATGCACACCTGAGATAGCTCAGTTGGTAGAGCATGAGACTCTTACTCTCAAGGTTGTGGGTTCAAGCTCTACATTGGGCAAAAGTTTCTTGCAATGCAGGGGGCTGGACTAGATGACCCTTGTGGTCCCTTCCAACGCTACAATTCTACAATCTTTGCAGGGAAGGAGAGTCAACGTTCCAACACATCTTGGTCCTTTGGCCAGGGACAAAAAAGTCAAATCAACTCTCATGACTAAAACAAAACTAGAATACAGCCGTTTTTGGCAGCACAACACAACATTTTTCAAATACTGCTCCAAAGAAGGCCACAGGTATTCTAGCAATAACAAAAGAAGCCCTTTTCTTCTTGGCAGCTCACTGAGTGCTACCGTGCTTCTGCCTGAGCACAATTTGTGTTAATCAGTAGACG